ATAGACAATTCCAGACTATGCAAACAGCTCTGGCATATCAGACGCCAGGTGAGATCAGCCGACGTCAGGACCAGCGATCAGCGATCATCGGGCTCGTCGTGTGTGGGGGGAAGTTCCCAGAGCGTGGGGCAGCCGAACCACTGGGGGGTGCGTTGGAGGCACCAGATGCACTGAGCAGGCAGTCGGGTCGCTGGGATGAACATGACTGGAAAAGCAGCAGAGGTGGCCCATTGGCTGAGCGAGACGAAAACCTGGGGGTCATCTGGCCTGGAATGCCGGCTCGGACGGGGTGGGCAGATGCCCTGTGGGGTGCTTTGGAGGGGTCGCACAGCAGCAACGATGTGCCTTGCCTGACCTCCCTGGCTTCCCTGGCTTCCCTGTCTTCCCTGCCTTTGCCTGGTGACCCGCAGAAGGCAAGCGCGAGGTCATGTTCACCTGCCCCGACCCCTTACAGGACTCGCCTGTCCGCCCGCGGCCTCAGCTCCGTGCACACCGACATCTCGCGCGGCCTCATGACATGTGCTTAGCTTAGGTTGAAGGTACCTACCTGCCTGCCGTACCTCAAAGTCGGCCCCTCCTGCCCTTCACCTGATCTGACCACCATCTGTCCTTCCTGCCTGAATCTTCCACTTCACGTATCGTGCCTCCAGTAATTCATCCAAGTATTTTCTCCCCTCCTCTCCTCACGAGCACCCCGACAATCCTACCACCTGCCATCAGACACGTCCTTGACTCCCAACCTCGGCCCCTCCAACATCCTTCGCTGCACGCCTCTGGGGATGGGACTGCTTCTGAGCCACGTCGCAACCTCGTCCCGTTGCTCGCGCCTTCGCCCTCGTTCTCTGCAGCACCCTCCTCGACCATGACGGACGTCTTGCTGAACCATGTCCACCCTACAACAAATAACCCTGCCCTCCGTGGGAAGAAGCACGCGGCCGCCCCCAGACAACCACCCGAGCACCTCGCCCTCGACACCCTCTCGCGTGCCTTGAAATCCGCAAACGCCTACGTGCAGTCATGGCGAGATGGCTTGACGCACCAAGAGCGCGCACACCGGACCAAAGTCGAGGAGCGTCGCCAGATCCTCGGCTTGCGCATGCAGAACGCAGAGTCCAGAACCCAATGGCAAGCTGCCGCCGAGGAACTCGACCTGCTTGAGCGCAACGACCAGTGGAAGCTGCAACTCGACCCTTCGACACCCGACTACAACCCCCAGCTGATCGAGGCCCGCCTCAAGGATCTCGACGACGCCCGCCTCCACTGCGATGTGCGTGCCATGCTCTACCTCGTGCGCACTGCCCTCGCCCGCGATCTCGGCGGCATGGGCAATCTCGACCTCTACCGACACTCGTACGTCGGCACAAAGCACCTGATCGAGCGCTACGTCGCCTCCGCCTTGCAGACCATCGAGGCCCTCGTCGACATGAGCCACCACGCGCTCCCTGACGGCCTCTCGCAGCGCGACATCCTCGAGAACGTCTTGCTCGCGCGCCAGAGTTTCGGCCGTAGCGCTCTCCTGCTCAGCGGCGGGGCTACCTTTGGCATGGCGCACATCGGCGTGCTCAAGGCCCTGTTCGAGGTGAAGCTGCTGCCGCGCATCATCTCTGGCGCCTCGGCTGGCTCCATTGTGTGTGCCGTCATGTGCACACGAACGGATGAGGAGATTCCCGACGTCATCCGAGCCTTCCCCTACGGCGATCTCAACGTCTTTGATGGTCTCGAGAAGCCCGACACCGTTCTCGATCACATCCGCAGGCTCCTGACCGAGGGCAGTTGGTCAGACATCTCTCATCTCACCCGCGTCATGCGCGACTTGCTCGGCGACATGACCTTCCAGGAAGCCTACAACCGTACGCGGCGCATCCTCAACATTTGCGTGTCCACCGAGTCCGTTTACGAACTGCCGCGTCTGCTCAACTATGTCACGGCTCCCAACGTCATGATCTGGTCTGCCGTCGCCGCCTCATGCTCCGTGCCGCTGGTCTTCAGTGCCGCTCCCTTGCTCGTCAAGGTTCCCGACACGGGTGCACACATGCCGTGGAACCCGACACCGCAGAGATGGATCGACGGCTCCGTCGATAACGACTTGCCCATGACGCGCCTCGCCGAGATGTTCAACGTTAATCACTTCATCGTCTCCCAGGTCAATCCGCATGTCGTTCCTTTCCTCGCCAAAGACGATCGGCTTGATCCCACGACGCCGCACCTCCGCCGTCAGGCCAACAATGCGGCCACATCCACAGCCGCCAAAGACGGTGCCGACTGGGTCTATACCATGACCGCGCTCGCCAAAGACGAGGCTCTGCACAGGCTGCAGTTCCTTGCCGAGATTGGTTTCTTTCCCAACCTCGCCACCAAGCTTCGAAGCGTCCTCAGCCAGAAGTACTCGGGCGACATCAACATTCTTCCCGAGATTAGCATGAATGAGCTGCCCGGCCTTCTCAGCAACCCTACCAGCGACTTCATGACGCGCGTCTGCCTTCTCGGCGAGCGCGCTACGTGGCCAAAGCTCAGCAGGATAAGAGACCGATGTGCCATTGAGCTGGGCCTCGATCATGCCGTCCACCGTCTGCGAGCCCGCGTTGTCTTCTCCGCCAGCCAGGTCGACCTGCGCCGCCTCGCCACCGGCCTGGTCGTGCCCCCTCCTTGGCCTTGCCACGCGGCCCCTACCCGTCAGGGCGACAGTCAGACGCTGTCTCTCGACGTGGGTACGGGCGTCGCTCAGAAACCCCCTCGCCAACGCCGGTCCTCGGGCGGCAGCCTCCAGCTCCTGGCGCACCACCGTCGCATGATGCTGGAAAACGTCCTCACGGACGAAGAGACGGAGGAGGAGGAGCGGCTCGAGATGCGCGCGCGGCACGGCGGCGGCGGCAGCACATCCCCCGTGCTCGTGCGCAAACCCAGGCTCAAGCGCTCAGCAAAGAGCCAGAGCTACTTCAACACGGCATTGCTGCGGTCTGCGGCGGCGGGTGAGGTCCGAAATGATCAGGCCTTGGAGAAGAGCTTCGACTTTGGAACGGCACCGACACCGCCCGGGCGTCAGCGGTCGCCCACCGAGGAGGTCGAGACGTCGGAAGTGCCGAGCTGGTCCGAGGCGGGCGGGAGTGACGAGACCGTGTCAGACGTCGAGCCATATGAGAGCACATGGGCGCAGCCCGATACGAAGGAGATTGGGCATGTTCGAAGCGCAGAAGTGAGCCGAGGCGTGGGCCTGTGGGATTGACTGGTAGACGGGCTGGGGAGCTCAGAGGAAGAAGGGAGGGCCGTTGATGATGATGTTTTACGTTCGGAGTGGATGACGTAGTACGAGCACCCCCTCCCTCGTCCGGGCTGCGGTTTTCTTTTTTTTTTTGGTGGCCATGCACGGCGTTGGGTAGCATTTAGGATGTCAAGCTGGGTAAAGGTGGGCATTGGAGCGCATGCATTTACAGGAGGTTGAGCAGTCACTTGGACCGGGGGTGAGGAGCTAGGTTGAGTGTGCCGTATGAGATGTTATGTCTAGGCCAGCATGATCGTTCTAGTCAGTTGGATGGCAGTGGTCACCCGAGAAGGTGCAATTGAGTCAGTCTTGAAAGTGTTAAATGTGTGTTGCCATGGCAGGCTTGGTCTTGTGGTGTAATGCCATGTTCTTGCTATGTAGTCAAACCAGGCGACCCTCACAGCCCAACCCGTCATGATGACGCCTGGTGAAATCATGCCGGCCTGGGAGAAGATGTGAATGAGTTCACTGCACCAAAGTTTGCAGGTCAAGGGTGTCAGCATGTAGAACAAATCCCCCCAGCCGACCAGTCAGGACGCCATTCTAAACATCTCGGACAGGAGAAACCAGCCTGTGTAGCGGGTATGGCTTGTTCTCCAGGCACCCGGACACTACCAGACGCTCCGACTACATGCCGTGTCGTCCACACGACCATATGGATGATACGAGGGTATCTCGAATACTCCGGAATACAGAACCGCGGTGGAGTGCTAGTCGCAACATTCGCCCCTGGTTCTGCCTTTTTCGCCCTCGTGCGCATGTGTGCTGCGAATACTCCGTCACGCGTCCTCCATCGCATCGTGATGGGTATGAATCGTATGGAGAATACACAGCACAACCGCAGAGTATGACTGGGGCAGTGATCTATCTATATCTATATCAAGTCATGAAAGGAGAGCTTATGGGTAAGCCTCCCCCCCTCCTCTCTCTCTCTCCGCCGTCGCCATCGTTAAAAGGCCGCGAGATAAACCAATCGCGAAACACTCGTCTGTTCTTGCCGGGTTATCTCTTTGTTTACCGCGTGCTTGCCGACTATAGTGCCTTCATACTTGATAATTATTTGTCTGCAAACTCTGTATACGAACACGAAACACAACGTATCGGTCTTTCAAGAATGACGGTTCAAGAAGCTTACAGTCAAATGTTTGACTCACAGTATATACAACCGTAATGGCGAATCATCGGCCATCGTTAACGACCTGCGTTTTGATTCGAAGACCATGGATCGGGGGCTCCGCTTCAGTCAAGCTTGATCGAGAACTCACCCGGAGATGTTGAGGTTCTTGAAGCATACGATCAAGTCATGATGACGTTAGGCAAGGCCTTCATTTACTTGGTCATTCAGAACAACCGCTATGAGATGCCACGGAGAGGGGAATGCCTCCCATGGCAAGAACACAAGGACATTGGCCATGGACTGCCGGCCCGCACCTGCCTCGTGTCGCATGAGCCTTGGCTACATACCTACTTGAGTTCATTGCCGGCCCCCCTCTCCCGTCAACACCAATCAGACCACACGTACAGGCGCATCACGGCGTGCCGAGCAAAGGTAGGTAGCGACCAGATATGTGGCAAGTCGCACTAGGAAGAAGATAACGCCAGACTGTCATCTGTCTGTGCATGTCTCTCCACAATTCCAGAGCAGCCTGTCTAGGCAATGCATTCGCAACACAGGAGACGCATTGATTGTGCCACTTATGCGCCAAGCCCCCTCATATGACATGACGGCCTATAGGGCTGGCGGATGTTGAGCGGATAGGGCCCGGTGCCCCGCGTCATTGGAGACCGGACATGGCAGGCAGACGGTCTCTCTACCTTCCCGTGGCGCTCTATAATCCTCGGGGTCCGGCGGCAATGACATGGTGTGACTGGCCAAAGGGGGGGGGGGCATGGCAGGGTCGAAATCTAGATCCCCATCTCATCAGAATGTCGCTTTGCGGGGCAGTGAAGGTAGCACTTGGTCGTCCAAAGGAAGGCTGACTTGAAGCCTCCTCCCTCAGGTCCACATTCCCCTTCGCCTATTATAGGGTGCAGTGCTTGTCAGTACCTTGATGACCCCTTGCAAGCCGAAGAGAACGACATTGACTGGACAACCCAATCAGGCTGAGACAGGCTTAGCTCAAGCCTCCGGAAGTCTCGACGCCCCCCGCCCCCCTTCGAAAAAAAAAAAACAGAACTCGCAATACCGTACGTCACTGAAAGCAAACAGCAGACGAGTGCTGGGGGCTCTCCTGCGTACCCTATGCCTGTGGGGAAGGAAGTCAGAGCATCCGGCATTCAGTTGACCGCACGGCGGAACATGTCTAGATCGGCGGTGCGGGGCCGCAGATGACGGGGCCGACATGATGGGATATAGTGGCTCGGTGCTAAGTAACGTGGCGGCAAGGAGAAAACAAGAACATAACGCTTCGTCATGGTGTCATTGGCCATGATGGCGTCTCACTGCCTTGTCACTGACAGTTGCCCGATTCGAAAGTGGCTGCAGGGCGAGGCACCGCGGCTATGCTAAGCGGACACTACTATCAGACGCAGGCCAGGTGGGATACGAGGTTCTAGACTGGGTCATGTACCAGAGGGCGGGCCTCTTGGCCCTGATGCAAGAAGGGGGGTGGGAGGTGGGCGCTGGTTTGGGACAGGCAATGGCGACAGAGCGAGAGAGGAATGCGGCCACGGTCTGGGATCCGTCTGTGTGACGGGCTGATCTGTGCTAGCAGGCAAGATTCTCGGTCTAGACGTCAAGCTTGAGACTTTCAGGGTCGTACACGCGCAAGACACATACTCAGCGAGGTGACTCTGAATTCGCGTCAAAAGGTAAGACACAATGTGTATGGTCCACGAAGATCAGGCTAGTGAGTGGTCGAGCTGCAACAGCTTGCCAGCCAGAGGAGCCTCTCGCATCCCTCCACATACCCCCGTTCACGGACGGCATCTTCAGTATCGGCGTGGGGGTCACTGATAATCCACCGGAAGCAGGGCAGCTCCGACGTCCTCAGTGACGCCGGATGGCAGACTATTGCCATTGATACCTACTCGGAGGGAGTTCTGGAGTTGTTTCTATTGCCTGGAGTTCAACAGAGGGTTGGCATGGCGTTCAGTCGCTACGCTGATTCGCAACCAGTCAGCATGGAGAGTGTACGCAAGGGCACGAACGCGCGAGAACATGATTTGAGGCGAAAGTAAGAGCGGGTAGAGGCAAGAGACGGACGAGGCCGGCGAGGAGCGTTGCACCGACAAGACGCCTGTTCCTGGCGGCAGCATGACGGGAGCCTATCACGGAGACGGAGGTGCGATGGTGGCTGGAGCGTGTGCTGCAGGTCGTACACCATCGGAGGTGGGACGAGGCCGTTTTCCGCCGATGGTGGGCCTAGCGGCGGCCCGGAAAGGTGTACTGTTGTTGGCAGGCAGGGCTTTGGGGTGGAAAGGGTGCAGCGTCGGGCATTTTCCAACGTCTGGGTACCACGAGAGGTCTGATTGCGATAGCGGCGATGGAAGATGGAGCGAGCACACGAGATGGCGCTGTCCATCGCAACAGAACGGCGCAGGGCCTAGCAGGGCCCATTTGCTGCAGAGGCAAGGCGCGGCTGAACTCAATCTCTGATATTCAGGCGGAGGAAGAGGCGATGGATGGATTGTGGATGGTGAGGGGTTTGTCCTGTAATCATCGAATCGATGAAACGAAGCAGGATTGGGTCCAGTCTTGTGTACTGCAACGTGTGCACAGTGGTTGATAGACATGGATGGATGAACGAGGTCACTGGTGTTGGATATCTGTTGAGACTGTTGGTAAGCATTGCAAACATTGCCGAGTTAATGGGCGAACGAGGGCGGTCCCTAGGCAGCCGAAATACAAAGGCCTCCGAGTCCTGCAGAAGTGAGGCTCAAGTGGGTTAACGTTGGGAAGTGGGTGAGGGACGTGTGAGTGAGCGTGAAGCATTGATTTGGCAGGGAATGAAGACCAAGAGGAGCGGACAGCACGTTCATTCAGCCAGGGTCACGTCCAGAAGAAAGGGAAAGGTGAGTCAGGCTGGTAGCACCGTGTCCAGGCCCTCTTCCGGCCCAAATGACTGGAATCTGCACTGTATACAGACACCCGATGGCACTGTATCACCGACGTGTGGATGGCAGGACCGACCGCCACGCGTCTCTTAGCATCAAATCTGTTGGAGGGGCGCCACACAAATACAAAGCACATGATTGGCTTTCGAAATCTCAACAGCATAAAGACCAATCAGAGGGCGTAGACACCAACCCTGTGCCAATTGAGGAGATTTACCTGCCACTTGCTCGCTCAGCCACCTCAGGCGTACAGGAAATAATATGCTAGACGCAAATGCAGGCGCAGGCGCAGGCATACAGACAGACAGATGCAACTGCCACGCTACCTTTGTGGCTCCACCTACCATGGGTAATCCGGTTCCCCCTAGCGTCAAGTTCCACCTTCACAACCAGGCTCACCTCCATTCTCAATCCAGCGAAAGTTGTTGCCAGTATCCTTCGTTTCCCCAGCCCCAGCCCAGCTCTTTCCCTAGCGCTTGCCATCCCTCCCACCGAGCGCCTCGAGGACTATACCACGCAGGCAAGCAGTCAGTCAGGCAGGCAGGCAGGCAAGCAGGCAGGCAGACATAATCGGAATGGCCACCTGGACATGGACAGAGTGTGTATTGATGACCATCTAATCTGGCCTTATGGCAAAGTCGCCCACACATCTATCTGGGGCAGCGAGCAGCAGACCTGAGGATTCGCCATTCTTTGACCTGATTCTGTCAAGCACGTCTTGACTCTTCTGTGCCCTGATACCAAATTTGAAAGGATCAATTTCTTCCCAATTGCTGGCGACCCTTGACCAGCCCTGCAACAGACAGGCCTTCTGAGACATCCATACCGCTTGTCGCCCTCCAATACGGCTTTTTCACTGACCTTCACCGTCTTGACTCGCAACGCCCCCTTGGCCCTTGGGAGGACAGCGCACCAAGCCAGGTACCACGCACCACCGTTCCAACCGCCATTGACCACGAGCGACGCCGCACTCGTAGTCGACAATCGCTCGGAATCCATCAAGGACGCCAGCCTTGGACTTGAATACTATTGCTGCCATCATCTACCTAGGGCAGCTGCTCGACTCTTTCTTCAGTTCGTTTCATCCCACCGGATTCGCGCTCCCTGCGTCAGATCAGCTCGAGGCCACGCGTGAGGCCCAGCCTTGAGAATCAATCCCCCCAAAACTGTGGGACGTCCCCGCTTCTTTTGCCCAGCCAGCTGCAGTCAGCGCAGCCCAGTGCAGCCCAGCCAG